ATTCACGAATAGTCCATGGTAATACATTAATGTGGTGGTGATGATAATGAAATACATTCATTACCTGATATCTATTTGTATAAATTAATTCTTTAATTATAAATTCCGTAATAGCCTCGCTTTCTTCTTCGTATTTTGACGAAGAGTAAAGTGCTAATTCACTTAATACCGAAAGGTGACTTAGAAGATTTGGAGAGTCGTGTGAAAGATTCGGAACAATTTTCTGTTATAAATATTTGGTTAGATTTATTAAAGAGTTCACAATGAATAGAAAATAATGATAATTATGCACCCGTAATAAGCCCGTAAATATTTGGTATTTGTCGTGCATTTGACCCAAAACAATTGCAGCATATTTGGCTTGTTGCTGTGATCCTTCAAGCGCATATTTAATTAAACGTCGTTTGCATATGCTATTTGAAGTTATTGTGTTAATAAAAAAACAACACAAATTTTTAATATATATTGGTTATAACGTATTTACCTATCTTGTGGTGTTTCATTTGGATATTTCTTTGAGAACTGGGAAAGTGCCTCCAGGCTATCTTCGACTTTGATCAAACAGAAAACCTAAGTCAGTAAATTAATTTTGTCTTAAAATTTCTTTTATATATTTTAATACGTACTAAGCAATTCGTTAGCATCTTCTGCAAGTAATTGTGTAAGTTCACCGATATGAGATCTATACAGCGCTGGGAAACGCAGCGATATTTCCTACAAAAAAAACTTGTCCGATATTATCTGTTCAAAAAAAAGAATTATATATTCTGATTTTTCACAAAAATGAACTACCTTTAATAAATCATGGGCAGCTTTTACCATATTACTATTTTGTTGATTTATAGACTCGTTCTCATTATTTTTATTGTTCTGACTTGTTGATTCGCTATTATTATTTTGGCTTACTGAATCTTTATCATTATTTTCATTCGTTGACTTGTTCTCGTTGGTTTGACTTATCGAGTCAATAGACATTATTGTGTTCATTTTATGCATAAGCAATGGAATAAGATCTTTGTTGATTATAGTCAAGCTGATTCGACGTAATATAATTAAAAAGGTCTCGTATAGAGAAGATGAAACTTGTTCTATTTTCTTTAATGCTTCTTTCTATAAAAAATTTGTCACCATTAGATCATTTAGAAAAAATAATATACAACTGAAAAAAACAACAATAACCTGAGATTTTTTGACTGTCTTGTAATCAGATTGAGAGTCCATGCAATCTTTTATTAATTTATATAGCTGTGGGTCACCGATTTTTGTAAAATTAGACAATTGATTTGCTGATTTTTGCGGATCCGGAAGTTTATCTGGTTTTCTTTTGCGGTTAGTTTTGAAATTTAAAAAAGAAATGTCGTAAACCAATAAATACATACTTGCTATACGCTTAATGAGTTGTTCCAACAATATAGAAAACTGTTCGTTGTTTTCTCTACCTTCATCCCCCTGATTCATTTCAG